TAGAGGTAAACTTTTCTAATCCCTGTACCTTGAAAGGAGTGATACCCGTTAAGGTCCGGGTTAGAATTGGTCTTCAGAAACCCATGCTTGTCGTATTAGGCGACTAACGGAATCGGGTTGACAGGCTCGCTGACTTGGTTGACACATGTCATCGTGTCCCAATTGCGTAGAACGTTGCTCATGATGTTGATCACTGGATTGTCTGGTCCAGCCTCGATTATTTACAGACCGCCGCCATACAGCTGGAATATTGCTGAGTGCGGCGTTAAACAACAAACCAACCAACCAAAGGAGTGAGTAACATATACTGCTCACACAAAAAAGTTAAGCAACACAAATTCGTAGACTCATTACATTTTCATTTATTGAAATAGCAAATCATTGAATAATGCAATAGAAAGGTGAAACATATGTACACACGACTGACAAAATGAAATGAAATGGTATTGAAGAATAATAGACTTACAAGTCATCAAAAGCATGTGGCCGAGAAACAGTCGTGCAAAACGTGCTGCATTGATGGAGCAAAATGTTAACATTAAGGTTCAAGTCAGTTTTGGACAGTGAAGCAGTGTTCAGTAACGCGTATGATCACCATGAGCACAAATGGAAGCTTCTACACGTCTTTGCATTGACCAAATGAGCCTTTAAAGTTGGTGTTGTTGAATGTTCTGCCATTCTCTTTGCAACGCCTGGTTAAGGTCATCCAGAGTGAACATGGAGACCGTAAACACGACTTCCAATAATGTCCCAAGCATGTTCAATAGGATTAAGATCAAGTGAACTTGCAGGCCAGTCCATATGTGTGATGTTGATCTAAACAACATCGTTAACAACTCTTTCTCAGGCATTATCATCCATGGAGGGGCATTATAAACCATGGACGAGCATTATCATCCATGGAGGGGCATTATCATCCATAAAAATGAAGTTAGGACCCGCTTGTTGTGCCAGAGGAATGATTACAGGTAGGTTTACACCGATCAGGGTTCATGTGTCAAGAGCGGAGCACATTCATACCACACATTTTGCATGTTGTTTCTGAGGGTGGTTGTGTGGGGTGATGTTGTCAATATTATCAGATAAATCAATTTGACAGTCACTAAAGGTTATGTATTCTTCGAATAACACTTTCAGTAACACGTCGGCAAACATCGCTATCGAGATTGGTAAAGATATAACACTGAAAATACTTGTTGCTTATTTTTTTGTGAGGAGTATATTTCAGCTATATGATACTGTGTCGGCTTATGGGCGGTGGGATTGAAGCGTTCGCTCTTCACGAACGGTTCTCGGGTTCGATTCCCCACATGGGTACATTGTGTGAAACCCATTTCTGGTATCCCCCGTCGTGATATTGCTGGAATATTGCTAAACGCGTCGCAAAACTGAACTCACTCACTCACTCATGTTATAGTGAGGGAATGAGTTTAGTTTTACGCCGCACTCAGCAATATTCCAGCTATATGGTGGCGGTATGTAAATAATCGAGTCTGGACCAGACAATCCAGTCATAAACAGCATGAGCATCGATCTGCGCAATTGTGAACCGATGACATGTGTCAACCAAGTCAGCGAGCCTGACCCCCCGATCCCGTTAGTCGCCTCTTACGACAAGCATGGGTTACTGAAGATCAATATTCTAACCCAGACCATCACGGGTCCACTCATGTTATAGAAAAGCGCGAAGTGATTCAGGTCTGAGATGTTCACCACTACGAACACTTGTCGATGCTGACAAACCCAAAGACAAAATCAAGGCGTACCAGGATTTATAGTCTGTCTCAGTCCCTGAACCACATTATTTTCCCTACAGCCTAACCTTGCCTGTAGTGCTCAAGCCCTAAACGAAGCAAGTCTAGATTTCCCCAGGTTCTGAATCTCTGGTCTCCCTAGGGCTCCTTTTCAATTTAAATGGGCTTGTTTGTTACTATCAAAATTATATATATTCAGAGACTAAGCGTTAGTCTACAGGATTTCTAACATCCAACGCCTTGTCCTCCTATTGGTAACATGTCCCCTTAAATCTTAGAGAATTCGATCGCATACATACATACATACATACATACATATACGTACATACATACATACATACATACATACATACATACATACATACATACATACATACATACATACATACATACATACATACATACATACATACATACATACATACATACATACATACATACATACATACATACATACATACATACATACATACATACATACATACATACATACATACATACATACATACATACATACATACATACATACATACATACATACATACATACATACTAACATTTGTATAGCGCCGATATCCAGCTCAGCTCAGCTGCTCAAAGGCGCTTTGTTTTTCCCTCGTTCACTGGATGTCAATCTCAACGGCACATCGTATTGTCAATCTCAACTCCCTGGGGAGCATACAACTCTTGCAGCCACAAGGCGCACCGAGTTAGTGTGGCATTCCCATCCTTACGAGGTACCCATTTACAGCTGGGTGGACTGGGACACATAGTCACAGTACTTTGTCCCATGTACGTTTACTGTGTTTGCACGTATTCTGTACCCTGGTCATATACCAACTGGGTGTTTGCACGTATTCATGTGGCCACCATCTGGTCAGGTATACCAACGGATCACTAGTGGGCTTTAGCCAGTTTTTACCGCGCACTTGTGAGGTTGAGAAAAATCAGCCCAAACATGTACACTTTCTTCTTATGACAATTGGAGGAGCACGACAACAACTGTTTGAGTCCGCACCCAACAATAGTTCAGCTATATCACGGCGGTCAGTAATAATCGAGTCTGAAACACACAATCCAATGATCAACAGCACAGCATTGGGTGTGATATTATGATCGATCAACCAAGTCCAGCACCTCAACCGTTCCCGTTAGTCGCCTCTTACTGAGCATGGGTTACTGAAGATCAATTCTAACCCGGATCTTCACGGGTCCAAAAGCAATAACATTCTGGTATATCCACACAAAGGGAAAAGACTTCACGCTGCATGGAGTGAAATAAAAGCAAATATTTCATGATAGCAGGAGGGTAAAAATATCAGTAAAGTTAAGTTATAGATTGTGGGATGGGTTTTCAGTCAACTTTTAAATGAATCACTTTTAGATTATCTGGTAAAAAAGATTCCTTTGAGCGTGAAAGGCAAAATACTGATAAACATTATATGAAATGATCACTGAAAATGGGTCATGACACCAGGTGTACTCAATATAGACAGCGACCAGGTTATAAGTTCAAACACCAAGAAATGGTGAAAAGTTAATGTGAAGACATTCAAGTGTTTAAAATACAAATATATAAATAATAATATAAACACTAAACATAGCAGTAACATCAAGAGAAAACAAAATGACTGTGCATAATGAAACAAGAAGATACAATGTGTCAATTTTGGAGGAAATATCCCCCCGAAAAGGCCCTAAAACAAACAAAAACAACAAACAACCAAAAAAACACCAACAACCCCCAACAAAACAACCCCAAACAAAAAACCAAAAACAAAAACAATACAAAAACAAACAAAGAACAAAAAACAAAACAAAAATTACATGCAGCATGCAGCGCTTTGAGTATGCAAAGGCTTGTGGGAATGATTATGGGGAAGCGTCCAGGTTATATTCGTAAGCCCAAACAACAAGAAATGGTGGAAACAGATAAAACATTTTAAAGATATTCATGTGTTTAAAACACAAATAAATAAAGTATAATGTAAACATTAAACATAACAATAACATCAAGAGAAAACAAAATGCTGTACCAAACTGAAATCCCAAGCCTGTATTCCAGGTGAGTGAGTGAGTTTAGTTTTAAGCCGCACTCAGCAATATTCCTGCTATATGGCAGCGGTCTGTCAATAATCGCGTCTGGACCAGTCAATCCGGTGATCAACAGCATGACCATTGATCTACGCAACTGGGAACCGATGACATGTGTCAGCCAAGTCAGCGAGCCTGACCACCCGATCCCGTTAGTCGCCTCTTACGACAAGCATGGTTACTGAAGAGCGATACTAGACCGCATCTTCAGGGTCTCATTAGCCCAGAGAATATAACGTAATTGACAGGCTTGACGAAGTGTCCTGATACAGAGGCTCATCAAAATAAACAAATGTCGCTACTGACAACCACTTATCAAATGTTGCCGCAGTATTGGTAAATATACATACTGACCAGTAAAAGAAACGCAAGTTTCGAAAAAAATGAAATCTCATAAAAGTAAGCGTTCATGTTTATGTCTTCTATAAAAAAACTTGACCAAAAACAGAGTTGTGTTTCTTTTGCTGTTCAGTATATTTCTGTTGAAAGACTAAATAGACGCCGACAGAGCCGTCAATTCATTAGGAGACAATCGTTCCCTTGTATATTCATCCTCAGTACTAACTACCCTTATTTCACTAAACTGTGATCAAACATGGCCGAGTCATGGCAATAACTACGTTTTTGTTTCAATATAGTTGTCACGTTCATACATGTTTTTAGGCCTCTTTCATATAATACAACACTGACATCATGCCCATTCAGAAGAAATATCTGCTACATGAACATTGCAAAACAGAAGAAAACATTTTTTTATTTATGAACAGTGCCAAATAGTAATGATCGCAGGTAGCACCATACACAAATACATGCAAAACCACGTCAAGTGTTCACCAGAACAAACACGGATATATCTCGTGCAAGGTAAAACAGGGAAATCTTACATTCGTGTAACCTTGCTGCCATACTCCTGGTGGAACTTGAATATACTATAATATTCCCGGAGATGTGAAATAAAATCCCAATGTTAAAGATTAAAGTCGATTAGTTGTATATTATTCATATTTTGTTTTGAAACTCGTAGCGATTTATAATTATATTTCCTAAAAATGTCGGAAAGCGCACGTACAATCTCCAAAACAAGCCCGCAGGATCGTGAGAAACGCATTCAATTAGAGAACCGTAATGTAAACAAACACACGTGTGTATCTGAATCTCTCAGGTCATTATCATTATTAAAAACTTCTCATTAGGCAACACTATTGTGTTAGCTATGTTCTTTGTACTGTCTGTATGACGATATATATTTTTCATGATTTTTTTAAACAATCACAAAATGCCATAAACGATTTTAGTACTCCGGATTATTTTTAACAAAGCACCGCAATCATTACTCGCGTTCTGATTATCGCACATACCATACGGAAAGTTACGGAAAGGGACGACTGGTGACGAATGTGCTGCAATATCAAATATACGTCGACAAAGCGTTGCAAACAACACACGTGTTTACAATAAAGCATGGTAACTATTTTCAATTTTGAGCAAATGTCGGTATATCCATGTATTTTCCACGCGGAAAAATGAAATTTGAAGCATTACTGTAAAAATGCGTTGCATTGTCAGGCCAGAAGTTATTTTATGTTAGTTCCGTGTAAACTTCCTCGCTTTGTTCACCCTGAGCGACTTCGTCGACGTCAGGCACTGTGAAGTAAGATGGTGTAGGAATGTCATCACCTTGAGCGACTTCGAATTCGTCGTAGTAAGTAGGTGAGGGAATGTCATCACCTGGTTTTGCATTTTCCTTAACTGGCAACATCTTCCTGCGTCTACAAGAACAAACGCTTTCATCAGAAGCAATATAAATATTGAGAAATACATCGACAGTTGCTGAAAACCAATTTTAAAATTTAACCCGGATCTTCACAGGAGACAAGCATGGGTTGCTGTACCAATTCTAACCCGGATATTCTAACCCAATGACATCGCCCCATAGTGAAACTCACCCACTCACACGTTAAAAGAATGTCACAACATAGAAGGAATGGTCAACTCATGAAAACTTACATGTAGAGTACATATGTCATAAAGGCGACCAGGAGAGCCACAATGACAATTCCACAGACTACACCCACGATCATAGCAGTGTTGGTCGGGTTGACAGCTGAAAAATATATTTGACTTTAATATATATATATATATATATATATATGACTTCGTTAGTTAGTGGTCTATACATACTGCAGACGAAGGTGTTTCTCCACCGTCTTGAGGTGGGGTAGCCTAGTGGTTTAGGCGTTACACCGAAGATCTGGGTTCGATTCCCCACATGTTGACAACGTGTGAAGCCTACTTCTGGTGTCTCCGCCGTGATGTTGCTGGAATATTGCTAAAAGCGGCCTAAAACTAGACTCATTCACTCAATTATTCATTCATTCCACAGCCACGATATATTTCTCCTTTAATCAACATTAACGTGTTTGCAACTGTTATATCTGACACTTTTGTACTGGAGAAAAGAAATAGAATATTCATTCACACAGTCGTGGAGGTCTTCTTTGTGGAAACTTTTAAACAGACTTATACCTCTCTTACTCAGAAGTATCAAGAATGATCTGCTTTTAACTGAAATTTCTTGTGATGGTGGAATGGGTTTTGGCACTTTTATCAACAAGGCCTGATTGTTGAAACCTTGAGCGTAAAGATTAACTGTAAGGAAAACATGGCTTTTAATTTATAGAGAACAACAATCACATCATGGTGAGTGAGTATGGTTTTACACCGCTTTTAACATTATTCCACGACATGAACACTGACATGGGCACATTCACACGCTGTACTCATGTGGGGAAGCGAACTCGGTTCTTCGGCGTGACGAGCAAACGCTTTAACCGCTAGGCCACCTTACCACTTCAAGTACAACAGAACACCAGCATTGTTGAAACATTAAATATCAAAGACGCCTGAGTATTGTATAGTCTGTGAAGTATGATTTGGAGAAAACTACACAACCAACCTTTGGTATTTGCGATATCACGGCTCCTATACAGGACAACAATGTTTAAATTGCTATGCAATTAAACACGTGGGTTATTTTAGCAAGAAATGAAAAGAAAGACGAACTGGTCAATGTATTGATTAAAAACTTATATACACCTTGATAGAGACTCGAACTATTTGTAGTCGACGTCTTTTCAGTCCCATTCGGCGTAGAGGTCTCTGGGCGATCATATCAGACGAAACGTTTTCAATGAATGTGTAGAGAATTGATACAAGCATGGTAATATATAACAGTACGGACATTTAAACACACATATTAACGATCGACAGAGTGCTTGTTACATGTTATGTGTTTGCTTTTGGCTTCTAGTGTTTTGCACCCGTGAAGTTCCGGGTTAGAATTGATCTTCAGTAACCCTTGCTTGTCGTAAGATCCGACTAGCGGGATCAGGTGGTCAGGCTCGCTGACTTGGTTGACACATGTCATCGTATCCCAGTTGCGTAGATCGATGCCCATGTTGTTGATTACTGGATTGTCTGGTCCAGACTCGAATGCGTACGATGAGTTTGCTTGACGCAGCACACAGCATTATTCCAGTTATATTATAACATTATGAACAATGTGAGTGCTTGTCACATGGTTCTGGAAAGAATGTACTTGTTTTGCCTTCTTGTGTTTTGAGTGAGTGTGAGTATGGGTTTACGCCGCTTTTAGCAATATTCCAGCAGCATCACGGCGGGGGACACCATAAATGTGCTTCACACATTGTACCCATGTGGGGAATCGAACCCGGGTCTTCAGTGTGACGAGCGAACGCTTTAACCACTAGGCTAGCCCACCGCCCCTTCTTGTGTTTTGATCTACACTGTCATTGTAAAAAGTAACCAGGTAAAACATGTGTGATTGAATGTTCAATAATGCCGCATTCAGCAAAATGTCAGCTACACCACGGCGTCTGTATCAGGCATCTGTAACATCATCACAACGTCAACGTCGCGATGCGGTGATACAGCACTGATCTTGACTACCAAACCTCTTTCTAGCAGACTCGTACGATGGGTTTGTTTGATGCTTCACTCAGCATTATTCCAGCTATATGACGGAGGTATGTAAATCTGGGAGATTGGTCGAAACAATCCAGTGATTGATCTACGCAACTGGGATACGGAGACATGCATCAATCAAATCATCGAGCCTGACACCCGATCCCGTTAGTTTTACAAGTATGGGTTGCTAAGATCAACTCTAATCCGGATCTTCGCATACGACTAGCATAAATACACACGCACATCATCATCACACACATCACACAATATCAATAACATCATCATCACACACACATCAATACACACATATCATCACATCACACACACATCATACACACACAAACATTTCTGTAGCTTAAACACAATAGACTACGTCTATAAAAAAGACGCTTACTAGGAGCTGACGGATATAACGTATGTATGTATGTATGTATGTATGTATGTATGTATGTATGTATGTATGTATGTATGTATGTATGTATGTATGTATGTATGTATGTATGTATGTATGTATGTATGTATGTATGTATGTGTCTCTCTCTCCCTCGTGTGTGTGTGTGTGTGTGTGAGAGAGAGAGAGAGAGAGAGAGAGAGAGAGAGAGAGAGAGAGAGAGCGAGAGAGAGAGAATATTTATATAACATCAGACCAACCTGTATCAGAATATGTCCTGAAACTGTATCCTCCGTTGTATATGTAATATTCATAGTATCCAAGGACAGCAAAGGTAGAGTTAGAACGGATGGTTGCTGTTGTGTATCCTCCACCTCTCAATGTTCCCACTTTGTATCTTGTATCTGACACATTCTTCCATGTCACCGGAGGGCTGAAGACTGTAGAGGGATTGTAACGGGCTTGTTGAACGTCCACATTGTTGTTTTCTTGGTCTGTCAATATCTGCACGGTACCATCGGCTTGTAGTGTTGAGAACTTGGAATAAAGACTTACCGGGGGCACTACAACTAGCCCATCAGAATAGTGATGCCTTCCAAAAGTACACAGAGTGGCCATAACTGGCCTTGTGGTGTTGAAGTAGAACGTTTCAGTATTTCCACATCGTGTACGGTACACTCCATCTTCACCCACTGATATGGAAGAACCGTTATTAAACATGATGCTTGTGTCACTGTGGTCAGTAACAACTTGAAGCTGGTATGGCAGGGCACCAACGTTTGAGCGGTCATCGTAATGGTCCTGGATAGCTATAATATACTCATGCCCATAATGTTTCACAGGCAGTAATTGCTCGAAAGTGGTGAAGTGTCCTCTGCTCACAACGTATGTTCCGCTATAGACAGCAATTATCTCCGTAGCATTAACGATGGTTCTAGTCATATCAGATGAACTGTTTAAGGAGATAGTCTGATACTTATCTAATCTGACACTAAGAGTGTCCCCGTCGATGTATGTCTTGTTACCATAGATGACGTTGCCGTCCAGTCTGAAGATGACGTCAATATCCGCCTCCTTGCTGTGTGTGGCTATCACCAAGACGGACATGTACGACGTTGTGTCCAGGTGAATGTTGTCAGTAGTAGGAAGACAGGAAGACATGATGTACTTCGTGCCTAGTGCCGACACAGGAAGGGGAGAGAATAACGTGACAGAATCCACTGTACCTTTGATCTGAATATCATCATCTCTGACATGAACAAGCACGACACTGGTGGTTCTGGTACTGGGGATAAAGAAGTCTGTGTTGTAAGGGTTGATGCGCCGAGACCAGACTCGCCCAGAGTGTGGATCCTGTACCTGCCACTGGCCCCCTGTCTCTCCAGCACTGGCGAGTATCCGAGGTCTACGTCTGTACTTTTCGAAGATCACCATCAAGTAACTTGGATCTATAAGACAAAGTATGTATGTCTTAACCACTAGTAAATTAGACACGAAGAACATGTCATTATCTTGTCTATGTGCCTGAGACTAACATCTAGTCTCTGAAATGAACATATTTTATAGTTCCTAAATTAGAATAAAAAATATCATGAAAAGGACTTGCCACATATTTTAGACTTGCATGGAATTTCTTGGATATATTTGTTTCGGGGCCTGTTTGATAGACGGTATGTGCCTATATGTAATTAATCAGTATTTCTAGCAGTAAAACGTCAGCTAAAGCACGTGTATAGAAAGTAGCCTACATTTTATGAGAAGGTTTTACAGTATTGTCAGGTGTTTTGCAAAGAAGATGAAGATTTATATAATGCTGTTATATGGAATAACAAAAACATTTTATGTAAAACTAAAGTCTCATGAATATTGAGTGGAAAAATGCAGGAATAATCCTTATAAGACAGTTAGTTGATGAACACGGTGCCCTTTTATCCCAATCTAACTTAAACCTCAAGTTTAACTTTTGTCTTCTAAAAGAGAATGAATATGAAAACATCATAAATGCTATGAAGAGATTTGTAGGGGAAAATGTTTACAACAATAACTCTCCCCAACCCACACAACCAGAGTACTCCTTAATTGGCAGCATTCCAGTTAATGAGACGCCAATAAAATCTAAATTTTGGCAAAATTTATTGCAACAGAAATTAGTTATGACATCACCCGCTGTTGCAAAAGACAAATGAAGACCTATTATGAGTTTACCGCTAGAAAATACATACAAACAACTCCATTTTAAAATGTTACACTCTATTGTTCCATGTAATGTTTACTTACATAACTGAACATTAAGAATACTGCCAAGTGTGAGAAGTGTGATTTCACTGATACTGTTAATCATTACACGTGTTATTGTTCATCAGTCATACCTTTTTGGTTAAAGTTTATCGATTGGCAACAGCATAATATTTGTAGACATTTCAAACCACAAAGTTACAGAGAGAATGTTTTGCTTGGATGTCAGGAAACAGATTCTTTAGATAAAGCTAATATTATAAGTCTTAATTATGTCTTTACAGTAGCAACATTTTATGTTTACCAATGCAATGTGTCAAATACTATTCCAACACTCAATGCTTGTAAAAGGGAATTTATCAAGTAATAAATCGTAGTTCTGATAAATATAGAATTATTATGTTGACCACTTTTGACTTAATGTCACAGTAAAACATCGATAAGCTTGTATTCGATGTATGTAGCATGAAGTTATGTCTGAAAACGACCACGGTGCCCTGGCCACGTGGCATATGTAGGTCGACATATAACAATCGTGGTCTCATATATGTATTATTAAAGAGTGAGAGAAAAACAACAACAACAAAACAAAACAAAAACACAGTAGCCAAAGAAACCCCCGTACAGTTCTATTTTCAAAAAGGACTAAATAAGTGAAACATTTCACACCAAAGAAACCCCCGTACAGTTCTATTTACAAAAAGGACTAAATAAGTCAAACATTTCACACCAAAGAAACCCCCGTACAGTTCTATTTACAAAAAGGACTAAATAAGTAAAACATTTCACACCAAAGAAACCCCCGTACAGTTCTATTTACAAAAAGGACTAAATAAGTAAAACATTTCACACCAAAGAAACCCCTGTACAGTTCTATTTACAAAAAGGACTAAATAAGTCAAACATTTCACACCAAAGAAACCCCCGTACAGTTCTATTTACAAAAAGGACTAAATGAGTAAAAACATTTCACACCAAAGAAACCCCGTACAGTTCTATTTACAAAAGGACTAAATAAGTAAAACATTTCACACCAAAGAAAACCCCGTACAGTTCTATTTACAAAAGGACTAAATAAGTCAAACATTTCACACCAAAGAAACCCCGTACAGTTCTATTTACAAAAAGGACTAAATAAGTCAAACATTTCACACCAAAGAAACCCCTGTACAGTTCTATTTACAAAAGGACTAAATAAGTCAAACATTTCACACCAAAGAAATCCCCGTACAGTTCTATTTACAAAAAGAACTAAATAAGTAAAACATTTCACACCAAAGAAACCCCCGTACAGTTCTATTTACAAAAAGGACTAAATAAGTCAAACATTTCACACCAAAGAAACCCCGTACAGTTCTATTTACAAAAAGGACTAAATAAGTAAAACATTTCACACCAAAGAAACCCCGTACAGTTCTATTTACAAAAAGGACTAAATAAGTCAAACATTTCACACCAAAGAAACAGTCTTATATTTAGCCGAGCCTGATATATTCTTCACTTGCCCTCTGTGTATAGTATCATCTTGTGTTTGGTTGGCAA